GAAAGTATGATATATGTACGGAAAGATGTATGTTGGTGTATGTTTTTAGAAAATCAGAGTTTGTATGGAATGAGAGTATGTGAAAGGATGGTACATTAAAGGATAAAACTACGACGTTGTCCATGTACATGGTAATAGCGATTTTTGATTATGTATGGAATTTTGTGTTTATTTGTAACCATCACATGTCTGTAAGTCCGTTTCTGGGCTAAAAAGCTGAAACTATTTAATAAATTAAAAATTAAACTAACAAAATTTTTAGAAATTTAATGTAAAAAATCAGTTTAAGCGATAAAATTTATTACATTACGGATAAAAAATCATAATTTTATTTTTGTTGTAAGATTCGTGAAATTCGCCTATGAAGTATACTCGTGTTTCTGAAAATCTGCAATTTACTCAAAATCATTTTGCTGATAAATAATTTCATTGCTAAAATAAAATGAAAAGTATAGATGTCGTGGCAAGTATCCCATAAATTTAAATAGTTAAAAGTGTTGTTCTTTAATTAAATACACCAGAATTCAACAAAAATTAAAACCACACAAATAACTACAACGACAACGACACCTTAGATATTATGTAATGTAATTAGATCATACGAGAGTATAGGCTGCTGCACAGTATTACATGTACACTTACTTACGCACATTATTTTCGCTACGAAGCTCGTAAAAATTAAAAAACGAAAGAAAAAAATGACTAAAAGACCGTTTTATCGCGATTGTCGATAATTCAATACTTACATCCTTGTGTTACTTGTAAGAGTGACGATATACACGGTATGATATTTTATGGCTATCACACAATTCTGAGGCTAATAAGTGAACGAATGGTGAAGGTTTTAAAAAATGAATACGATGTGCGTAGGAACAGAAAATTTTTCTTGATCTAATAAAATATCTGTAAAAGGATTCTTATGTAGGTTACGCATAGTTTTATTATTCTATTGGAATGACTTGAAGTAATATAACACTTCTGTGATGTCTATTGTATTCCTTCCGTCAGAGTATTTTTTTATAAAACTTCACCAACGCTTTTGTAAGAATTTTAAAAATACCTTTTTTCGATTCACACGTATATTGCTAAACTTGTAGATCTTGAACTATGGGTTATTAAGTGCCCAAACAAAATAGACAATTAGTAGTGCTCAGTGAACGTACAAGATACCATATATGCTGCTTTATTCGAACACCGCGGAAGAGGATTGCTGAATTATCCATTCGAAGATAAAAATATCAATTGTCATGGAATTATTGATCCTAGTAATACATCAGTTGCACGGGGTCAACAGCAACATGAGCCCAAACATCAGCATTCAAAAGAGCAGCTGAGCTGTTCAAAATAATAATCAATTACAGAGTTGGCAGTCTGTGTTGTAGTTTATTTTTTAATAATAAAATTTTGTGATTACCGTGTAAGGAAAATATTATAGACGATCAAGAAAGCCAAGATGGACGGACTCGTCGAGCTCTTCCTCTTCTGTGGAGTGATATATTATTTTTTCAGTCATAGGTACATGTACACGATTTCTTTGTTTCGACTGTTTTGTATTTCATAAATTATTTTTTTTATTGGACAACGATAGTAATAAAATTGCACTGTGCTGTTGTACTTGCAGTAATAATAAATTAGTTCTTACAAACGCGATCGAAGCGTCCGTCCATTAATAGCGCGCTCTCCGCGGTCGTTGTCGGGTACTTTCTTGTGTTTTTTTTCTATTTAATGAACGGAAAAGTTCACTGCGGTGTGTTCGGAAAACGCTGGTGTTTTAATATTTATCTTTCAAGTTATTATTATTATTATTAAAAAACATTGTTTTTCGTGAAGTGGTTTGTAAAACAAGTGGCATTTGATGGTACACTTTTATGATAATATTATCAGTGATATGCATCCATAAAATAAATAATTTGCAGCTCAGGTGTTAGTGAAGTTTCATCCTTTCTTCCTTTGATATTCAAATATATTTAGAATTCGCAGTGTTGTTATGGAATTAAATTCATTTTTTTAAATAACTTGATCGTGCCCTTTTATTATTTCTGACATAAAATCACAATTACACTTCGTGATCTTTGATCATAACTAGACGGTCTATTAAAAAAAAATTATTTTGCGTTGAAAGTGATCATAAACATTACGTAACTGGTAATGCCAGCCTTTCCCGTTTGTTGATTGATGTTAAAAGTTAAAGGGTGGACTGGATACACAATTCAGTCATTGTGTATATCTACATGTCGAAACAATCAATCAAAAAAGTTTAATAGCCTTCTGATGCAAGCCTGTACATCTAATTTCATCTGTTGATTTCGACATCGGTGAAATAGTGTCATTAACTTTTTAGGTACATACGAGTTGCGTATTACGTGCACTAGAGTCGAATAAAAAGAGTATTTCTCTATCTATCAGTATTTTTAAAAATATGATTCTTGTTCAAAAAATAAAATTAAAATTACTTTTTAATAGTTATATATCT